GCACAGGCCACCCCAGCAGAAGCACTGGCAACCGGGCAGTTAGCCTCTGCCCTCTTCTGGTCCTTGATCCAGGAACTAACGACCTCCCCCACCCTTTAAACCAACTTAGGCACTGTGCAACTAGTACTGGGCTTCCCCAGACAAGCTGACAGGTTTATCGATACAAGAGATCACAAGTTCCTCTCTCATCCTAGACATATCAACACTAGAAAATCACAGTTAATCATATTATGTTGGTCTCTAACTTCACTTAGTTTTTACATTTTATATTCTTCTACCCAGTCCATTCCCAGAGATGATAACGCAGCAGGTGGATCTATGCAATTTAGAATACTTTTAAAGACTGGCTAGTAGGAAAGGATCTGAAATATTGAGCCTTACATAATTGTTACCCAGAATAAGGTCAGAAATGTATTAACACAGCTGCACTATATGAGCGAGCCCAGATAAACCATTACACAGTTGTGTGGTGTCCGCATGCCCTGTGATAACAAATACACAATTTTGATAGATGAATTCTATAAAATAACATGAAGTTGTTTTTTTTGTTTTGTTTATTTTAAAAAATAAATAAATACATACAGTAAGTACAGTAATACAAAATTTACACTGGGAGACAATAGGGGTCCCAGTAATTCTCCTTTGATTAGTATTCTCTGGTTGAGGGTCCATCCCAGTGAAAACAGCTTTTAATAATAAAGCTCACGGTCCACAGTACATCAAGCCGTAAATACACCTGCAGAATTTTTTTTTTTTTAATATAAATAAATTCCCATGCAAACAATCATAAAGACTTACAAAAAGTCTATTTAACTATCTTTCTTGTAATTTCATCTTAAATTAGAGTGTTATTTACTACTAGAGTGTTAATTGTTGGGCTCTCAAAGTGAATTTAACATTTTAGTTCAAATAAGATAATACTGGAAAAATGCTCCTATACTTTCAGTTCAGTTATTTTACTCTAAAAATGTGAACTTCATTCTGAAATTACTTTGTATTCCCAACTATTTGCACTTTAACCCCTTAAGGACACATGACATGTGTGACGTGTCATGATTCCCTTTTATTCCAGAAGTTTGGTCCTTAAGGGGTTAATGAGTCACCATCCTATTGTTATAATCCACAAACACCTTGCTTACCATTGTTAGCTTTTTTTTACCTACAGAAGTCAACCAGATGTGGTGGCAGCACTGGGCAGTGCTGTGTGGTGCCAAGAGGTGGGACAAGTCTACGGGTGCTTTTCAGCATGTTGGAACCAGAAAATTAAATTCCAAGATAGTTCAAAGAGGGGCTACCTTACTACAATGTTCTGTTGGATTTCAAAAAAATTGAGTTTTTAGGTTCAATATGAATCTTGTGTAGTATGTAAATAAAGACATCTGGAGGTGAGATGTTATGTAAGAAGAATGCTGTATTGCTCTCTAGTATTGTTTAGTCAAAACTTTAGCACATTGAGAATAATTTACTGTTGGAGAATGTTCGGATCAGAAGTTTCCTTATTTCATCATAGACAAAAATGAGAAGTGCATAGTGTATGCTCACAAACCAGTATTCAATTCTGCAAAGCGAGTAGGAGATATTGATTGTTTCAGATACAACTGGATATCTGGAGAAAAACGTAAGAGGAAAATATAACTGACCAAGTACGTGTCCTAATAGACAACTTGAGGACCATTTTTTGAAGGAAGATGATACTGGTTGGATATGGATAGATAACGAGCACTGATGATATTCCATAGACTAATTAAATGCTTAGAATCCAAAATGTGATGAACACCTAACCTATTTAATTAGTCATGAGAGTGAAATAGACTGAGATCTATTCTTAAAGTTCTGAGCTGGCTCAAATTGACTCACGAGTTCATGTTTTAATTACATATTTCCAATATTTAGGTGCATCTCCATTAGACCTGTGGCACTTATTTACATTTTTCTGCAGTTCAGCCATTACTTACTTCACTGTTAAGTCTATGGTGCTCTGTACTTGGAAGAA